GTCGCGAGCGCGCGCTCGCCGCCGTAGCATCATCCGATTGGCTCGAAACGCTGTCCGACGACGACGTGGCGGGAGCGGATTGGCCGGACGCGCTGTCCGACGACGTCGCGATACGCGCGGCGATGACCGCGGACCCGGCGTGGTGCCGCGAGACGAGACCGGCGCCGTTCGTCACCGTCCCGCTCGCCGTCGAGGAAGGCATGCTGACCGGCACGATCGACGTCGACGCGTCCGTGAAAGCGGCGCGGCCGGTGTTTCTCCCCGGGTGCCTCGCGCGCGCGCACAGAGGCGTGCTGTACCTCGACGACCTGAACCTGCTCGAGGACTCGCTCGCGAACGCGCTGTCAGTCGCCGTCGGCGGCGACGGCGTGAATCGCGTCGAGCGCGAGAACATGAGCGTAACGCATCCGTGTCGGCCGTTGACGATCGCGACGTTTAATCCGGAGGAGGGGGACGTCCGCGAGCACGTCTTGGATCGCTTCGCGATGATCATCAGCGCGGACGAGACGTTCAGCGTGCGACAGAGGGTCGAGGGCACGATCGTCGCGAGTCGGTGGCAGGCGCGTTCTTTCTATGCGCCGGTGCACGCCGTTCATCGAGGACGTCGCCCGCGTGTTGTATTTCTCTTCGATCACCCTTCGCTCGTTTACGATCCCGACACACCGCGGCGCCTTTCAACTCCATCCGACGCCTTTGAATGCCACCCCGACGTCGCTTTGAAGGACGACTGGCGCGACGTCGCCGACGAGGCGGCGGAGGACGAGGAGGATCTCCGACTGTCCGTCGCGCTCGCGCGCGCGACGCTCCCGCGCGTCGTCATATCCGACGCGCAGATCGCGTATCTCGTCGACCGCGCCATCGCGGGCGCGTGTCAGGGCCACAGACCGGAGATCTTCGCGGCGAAGATCGCGCGCGCGTCCGCGGCGTTGCGAGGGAGCGAGAGCGTGTCGAGCGGGGACCTGAACGTCGCCGTCGCGTTGGCCATCGCGCCGCGGGCGACGGCGCCGTTGGACGTGTCTACGCCGCCGCCGCCGCCGCCGACCGCGCCGCCGCCGCCGCCGCCGTCGCCAAAGGCGGGCGAGGAAGAGGAGGAGAAAGAAGGGGAGGAGGAGGAGGAGGAGGAGGAGACGCCGCCGCCGCCGGAAGAGGAAGAGGAAGAGGAACGGGAAGAGGAAAAACAGGACGAGGAGATCCCGCCCGAGCTCGTCTTCGCGCCGGACGACGCCGCCGCCGCGACGCTCGACCCCGCGCTCGCCGCGATGTTCACGCAATCGCTGCAGCGGAAACCCGGTCGCGCGGGCCGCGCGAAGAAGAACGTCGTCTTCTCGCTCGAGCGCGGGAGATACGTCAAGCCGGTGTTCCCTCGTGGTGGCGTGATCAAACGCGTCGCCATCGACGCGACGCTGCGCGCAGCGGCGCCGCGGCAGCTTTTCCGCCGGCGACGATTACGCCTCCCTCCGGAGTCGAAGCGCGTGATCGTCGCCAAAGACGACCTCCGGAACAAGCGCATGTCGCGCCGCGCGGGATCGTTGACGATCTTCCTCGTCGACGCGTCCGGGAGCATGGCGATGAACCGCATGGCCGCCGCGAAGGGCGCCGCGTTGCGGCTCATCTCGGAGAGCTACACGAAACGCGATTCCGTCGCGCTCGTCGTCGCGCGCGGCGACGCCGCCGCCGTCGCGCTTCCGCCGTCCCGGAGCGTCGTCCTCGCGCGACGACGGCTCGCGGAGCTTCCGTGCGGCGGCGGGACGCCGCTCGCGCACGGGTTGGTGACGGCCGCGCGGGTCGCGATCAACGCGGAGAAAACCGGCCGCTCTGGCGGCGGCGGCGGCGCCAGCCGCGTGCGCGTAGTGTGCCTCACCGACGGCGGCGCGAACGTCGGGTTAGACCGCTCGCAGCAGCCCGAAAACGAGCGATGCGACATCTCCGAGTACGTCCCCTCACGCGCGGCGCTGCGCGAGGAGGCGATAGACGCCGCGAAGAGAGTAGGGAAGGCGGGCGTTTCCCTCCTCGTCGTCGACACCGAGTCGCGTTTCGCGCGGCCGCTCGAAGGGCGCCGCGGAGCCGGCCCGGGCGGCGAGAGGGAGGAGAGTCTGACGCGGACGATCGCGCGCGCGTCCGGGGGGCGGTACTACCGACTTCCGATGGCGACGACGAGCGGGAGGGAGGGCGCGGACGCGCTCCGGGGGATCGCGAGCGGCGGAAGGGCGCGGTAGCCGGCGGCGCGCGCGTAGAGAGGCAAAGGAAAGCGCAAGCAGCGAGATCGCCGAGATCCGCTCCGATGATTGGTCAGCCTATCCACAGCCTCTCCTCTCTCGTTCGGCGCGCTCGTCGCGCGCCCGCGCAGAACCGCGCGCACGCGACGTGAACGCCGCACGCGCTTCGACAACATGTCCGCCGTCGCCAACACGGTGCGCGCGCCTTCGAATCCAGCCTCGCGCCGTCCGCCGTCCGCGGTCCGCGGTCGCGGCGTCCGTCCGTCGCGTCGCGCGACGATAAATCGATCGATCCTCGCGTCGTCCGTCGCCGAAACAAACTTCCCTCGCTCGCGTCTCGCTCATCGCCCCGACGACCCCCCGCCCCCGCTCTCAGGTCGCCTGCCGCGCGCCTCTGAGATCCGCGTTCGCGGGCAAGCGCTTTAAGAGCGCGTGCCGCCTCCCCGGCGCGCCCTCGAACGGCACGTCCGTGAAGACCTCCGCGTCGTGGAACCCGTTCGCGCAGAACAGCGACAAGGCGGGGATCGTCGGGAGCCAGGGCCGCGACGACTACGAGGCGGAGGACGTCGAGTATTACTTCAACTACATGGGCATCCTCGCCGACGAGGGGAGCAACGACAGGATGGACGCGCTCGTGGAGGCCGGGAAGCACCCGATCGACATCATCCTGTTGTTCGCCGCCGCGGAGGGGGACACGCCGAAGATCGAGGAGATCTTAGAGGCGGGCGCGGACGCGAGCGTGACGGACTTGGACGGGAACACGCCGATGATGTTAGCGGGGAAGAACAACCCGGAGAAGAAGGCAGCCGTGGAGGCTCTGCTCGCGGGGAAGTAGTGATCGGCGCGGCGCGGCGCGGCGCGAGTCGACGACGCGATGGGTGATGCGATGCGAAGAAACGCTCGCACGGTGAACGTTTCATCCGGGTCGCCGGCGACGGACGAGACGAAAAGGTTTCGACGAAAAAAAGTCCCTACATATTAAAATCACTCGCCGTTCGGAGACTCGGTGGCGACCAACGGCGCGTGCGAGCTGTGATACTTCACGCTCGCGTCGTACTTCTCCCTGTCGATCGGCACCCCAGACCCGCCCTCCTCCCTCCCGAGCGCGTTCCGCATCATCGTGATCGGCGTCATCGGACACTCGTACCCCTCGAGCTGCCCTTTGATCGAGATGATCCCCCACGGCGCATCCGGCAACTCCGCCCTCTGTTGCTTGCTCGCCATCGCGCCGCGCTCCTTCACGAGCTGCTCGCGCGAGTACAGGATGACGTCCAACACCTCCGCGTCCGGCACGTCCACCTCCCCCGCGGGGAACCATCGCGTGAGGACGGGCAGCTCCGCCGCGCTCCTCGCGCTGTACCCGGACCGCAGCCGATGCGCGTTCGCCTCCGTGATCGCGATCGAACCAACCTTGACGCCCGGGATGAAGTTCTTCACGAAGACGTGCTTGCAGAACGGCGCGTACCCGTCCACGAGCGGCGCGCCGGCGGCGTGCGCGTCGTGGACGCGTCGCACGAACTCAGCCTTGTCGAACCCGAGCATCTTCGTGCCGCTGTACGCGGGATCGTCCCACTGGCGCATCGCGAACTCGTCGAGGAAGAAGGTCTCGCCCGCGAGCGACGAGGCGTCGACGGCGGCGGCGGCGGCGGCCGCGGCGGGCGCGGACGTGGACGTCATCGATCGACGCGCGCGGCGAGGGGGCGGGGTGGCGACGCCGCGGGAGGAGCCCGCGCGGAGAGAAGCGCGGCGGAGCGACGAGAGCGCGGTGACGGCGCTGAACGTGAGCGAACGCGCGCGGTGCATGTTCCACTGGCGACGAACGCGGCGTCGCGTTCGCTGTCATGTCATCGAGTCTCGACGACTGGAAGTTCGGTGAGCGGATCTGTCGTCTCGAGGGCGCGCGGCGGCGGGCGCAGTGTCAGACGCGCGCGAGAGGCGGCGCGACGGCATCCGCGTGAGCGCGCGCGTCGGGGGAGACGCGCACACGAACGCGCGCGCGCGCGTCGAGGGCGGCGCGCGCGAGCGGCGAGCGCGGGAGGGGCGCCGAGCGAGAGGAACGAACCCGCGCGGGCGCGGCGGCGGCGGCGGAAGGCGGAGAGGGATTCGTTCGTTCGCTCGCTCGCTCGCGCTGCCGCGGTGAGGTGAGATTCGCGTCGCGCGAACCCCTCGCGACCCGCCCGCGACGTCGCGATGGGGGAGTACAGAAAGCTCCAGCCGAAGAAGTTCGAGCCGCGGTCGATACGCGAGACCGCGGAGGGGCGGTATTGGCGCGCGTACAAGTCCCCGGCGCTCCTGGACCAAATCTCACAGGTGACGTCCGTGGCGTTCGCGGACGTCTACCCGTACGCGCTCGCGGTGACGTCGTCCGCGCGCGTGACGGTGTACAACTCGCAGAACCGCAGGGCGTTGCGGACGTTCGCGCGATTCAAAGACGTCGCGTACGGCGGCGTCCTGCGAGGCGACGCGAAAGCGCTCGCGGTGGGAGGGCAAGCGGGGATGGTACAGCTGTTCGACATGAGCAGCCGGTCCATCCTGCGGAAATTCACGCAACACGCGCGGGCGGTTCGCGCGGTGCGATTCTCCACGCAGACGCACGCCATCATGGGATCCGCGTCGGACGACACGACGGTGAGGATATGGGACATCGCCGCGGGAGTGTGCAGCAGGCGGCACGACGGGCACACGGACTACGCGCGGTCCATCGCGTCGCATCCAATCTCGATCGATCGATGGGCGACTGGGTCGTACGATCACACGGTGAAACTGTGGGATGATCGCGACGGGTCGATGAAACACTCGTTGAGCCTGAACCACGGCGCGCCCGTGGAGGACATCTCGTGGCTTCCGGGGGGGAACCTCCTCGTCAGCGTCGGCGGCCAGGACGTCTGCGTGTGGGACGTCCTCTCGGGCGGGAAGTTGTTACGGAAGCTGAGGTGTCACCAGAAGACGATCATGTGCTGCCACGTGGCGCCCGACGGCGGTCCGCCGATCGCCGGCGGCCCGGACGGCTCGTCGTTCGCGCGTCGCTCCGCGACCGCGCGATCCGCGCCGCGGTTGCTGACCGGCAGCCTGGACGGCCACGTCAAGGTGCACGAGTTGGACGATTTCACCGTGACGCACGCGGCCAAGTACCCCGGCCCGGTGTTGTCCGTGGCGCTGTCCCCGGACGCGAACGTCCTCGCGGTGGGATGCGCGAACAAGCTCCTGTCGATTCGAAGGAGGAAAGTTCCGAGGGAGGCGGCGTACGGGCTCGGCGGCGTCGGCGGGCGCGTCGGCGTCGGCGGCGGGAAGAAGAGAGGCCCGCGTCGACTGGACGCCGGGAGTTGGCAGTACTTCGTTCGCGGCACGAACGAGAAAGCCGCGGAGGGGCAGATGGTGATCGCGCGACGGAAGCGGATACGCCTGAAACCGTACGACAAGGCTCTCCGGCGGTTCCGCGTCGGCGAGGCGTTGGACGCCGCGCTCGCGACGGGCCGCCCCGAGGTGATTGCCGCCGTCGTGGAGGAGATCGGCGCCAGAGGCGGGACGCGCGCGGCGTTGTCCAACCGCGACGAGGCGAGACTCGGCCCGGTGCTGCGGTTCATCGCGCGGCAGATCGCGAACCCGCGGCACACGCGGCAGCTCGTGGGCGTCGCGGGGAAGGTTTTGGACGTATACGGCGGCGAGGTTGGCGTGTCGCCCGCGGTGGACGGCGCGTTGCGATTGATTCGCGAACGCGTCGCGGGGACGCTGAAGCTTCAGGACGCGTTGGCGAATCTGAGCGGGATCGCCGCGCCGCTGTTGGCCGCGGGGCATCACGCGGCGTACGGGTAGCTCGGTGTTGATCGATCGCTCGCGCGGTGGTAGCGTCGCGCTCGCTGTTGTAATCAAAACGCGTCGAATCGAAGTGCTGTACGTGTACACGTGTACAGCATACGCGTGAAAATCTTGGCACTGCCGACGTTTGAATTTTCCGAATCTGAACCCGACGGCGGGGACACATCCGAGACGCGCGCGGCGTCCGTCGTCGCTCGACCGCGACATGGCGCAGCGCACGATCGCGTCGTTCTTCAACGCGGGCGCGGCGCCCGCGCCGCCCGCGCCGCTTCAGGACGCGACGAACGCGCCGACGCGCGACGACGCGAACGACGCCGCGGGCCGTCCGACGATTTCGACGAAGAAACGCTTCCACCCCTCGGACGCGTCGCCGTCGCGCGCGTCGAAGCGCGTCGCCGCGCCGAGGGCGTTCGCGAAGGGCGCGGACGTCGTCCCGATCCCCGGCGCGTCGCGCTCGGACGGCTCCCTGGAGCTCGTGTCCGCGAACGGCAGGCACTACCTCGTGAACGCGGAGTCGTGGGACTGCGCGAACGTCACGGCGAAGATCGCCGAGTGGAAGCAGAGCGACGCGTCCGCGTCCCGATCCTCCTCCTCCTCCTCCTCCCCAGCACCGCCCAAGTTCGTCGCCGTGAAAGGCACGAACGGCCTCATCGTCAGCGCGCTCGCATCGCGCGGCCCTACCGGCGACGCCGCGACGACGCTGCGCTGCCATAGAGCCCCGCACATCTCGCCCTCCACGCCGCCGCTCGCGACGATGCGACTGGAATCATCCGGCGGCGACGTCCTGCGGCTCGCGTCGTGCGCCGCCGCGTCCGCGTCGGACCCGAACGTCCTCGTCGTCACCGCGGGCGGCGAGCTGAAGCTGCTCCGCGTCGCCGAGGGAGAGGGCGAGGACGGCACGGGCGTGACGATGACGACGTGCGCGAGCGTGTTGCTCACCGAGGGGACGTTCAAGTACGCGCTGCCGGAGAGCGCCGACGGCGGCGGACGGTTCGGCGCGTGCGTCATGTGTCGCGACGACGCCGACGCCGACGCGGACGTGGACGCGGACGCGGACGCGGACGCGTCGTCGTCGGCGGCGGCGGCGGCTTGGACGCCGGTCGTCGCCGCGGTGTTCTCCGCGGCGACGGGGACGCTGTGCTTCATCAAGATAACCGCCGCGGGCGCGACGTTACAGAGAACCGTGAACCCGCACCTCGGGAAGGCGCACGCGGCGGCGGCGTGGACGTCGTCGTCGCCCGGCGGCGCCGCCGTCGTCAGCGTCGGCGCGGACGGCGCGCTCGCGGTGACGCACCTTCGCGCGGACGGCCCGGACACCGCGTGGGAGTGCGTCGTGCGAGGGGGGAAGTCGGAGGCGCACGCGGTCGCGGTGGACGACGTGAGCGGCGTCGCGGTGACGGGCAGCCGCGACGAGGACGCGATCTGCGTGTGGCGTTTGCGCGACGAGTCGCGGATGCGCGCGGTGAAGTTGCCGCCCGCGGGCGCGGGCGCGGCGGCGGCGGCGGCGGGCGGGGGCGGGAAGGGCGCGGAGATATTGCGGCACTTCACGCTGGAGAACGTCGCGATCGGCGCGGGGGGGAGGTTGATCGCCGCGAGCAACGGGAACCGCGACGGGGGCGCGACGTTGCAGCTCGTGCGCGGGAGGTAGGCGGCGACGGCGGCCGGGTGTGATGAAGGAGAGCTCGATGCATCACGGCGCGTTGAAATATGATAGTCAGGAAATAATTCATATTCGACTGGACGTCTCGCGACGAACGAGTCGCCGCATTCTCCTCCGCGCGTCGTCGTGATGTCGATCGTGACCCCCCCGCCCGTGAACGAACTCAACAGGGTGCGCGCCGTCGAGCTCGCGTTCGCGTCCACCGCGTCGGCGGGATCGTCTCCTCCGCCCGACCCCGCGCGCGCCGCGCTCGTCCGTCGTCGCGCGTCGCGCCGTTCTAAATCCATCCACCCGATCGATCTAGGGTTACCCGCTCCGACGATCGCCCGCCCTGCCCTGACGCGTCACCGTCCCTCCCTTCTCCCGCCCGCGACAGGAGCTCGACGTCCTCCTGGCGCACGAGGACAACACCGTGAACACGGAGGCCGCGGCGCTTCTCGCGAGCGCGACGGCGCGGGTCCGATCCGAGCGCCTCGCCGGGACGAATCCGAACGGCGCGCCGCTGTACGAGAAGAGGGTCGTCGTCGACGGCACGGCCGTGCAGCTTTCGAAGCAGGATCCGCTGAAGACGCTTCTCACGACGCCGAAGCTCCCTGCAGAGCTCGTTGAGCACCTTCCCGCGGAGACGGAGGGGCCGGGGACGCTTCCGTAGCGAAGGCGCGACGGGGGAAGCGGGGATCGGAATTAATTATTAGACTAAACGCAACTTTAGAAGAAGACGGAAGGAAGCGTCGCGAGCGATGGCGGGGCCTCGCAGGAGCAGGCTCGCCGCGCGGCGCCGGACGATCGCGCGGTGCTGCGCGTGCGTCGTCCTCGCGCTCGCCGCGCTCGCCGCGCGGCCGACCGCGCGCGGCGTGGGCGACGCGCGCGAGCGCGCGCGTCGCCGCGCGTCCGTCGACCCGTCGCTCCTCGAGGAGTGGTCGCGGTCGCGTCTGCCGCCGAAGTGCTCGCGCGCGCTGTCCGGCTCCGTCGACGCCGCGTCCGGGTCGTGGGCGCTCTCGCACGTCGCATCGCGCTCGAAGCTGTACGCGGCGATGGACGCGGAGCTGACGGAGCGAGGACTGACGGCGTTCGACGACGCCGGCGGCGCGCGGACGCAGGGCTCCGGCGTCGACGACCTGTTCGCGTTCGACCGCGTCACCGGGCTCGCGCGCGCGAAGCTGACGCGGCTCGACGTCGCCGTCCGCGCGATCGTGCTCCCGCTGCCGAGGCGCTCGCGCGCGGCGTTTCGGATGCGCCGCGCGACGCGCGCGGTCGTCGCCGCCGCCGGGTATCACGACGGAAGAGACGCGTGGCTCCAAGACCCGGACGCGTATCACTTCTCGATGTTCCACGCGTCGCACCACCTCGCGCCGACGCCCGCGTCCGCGGCGGAGGTCGAGGCGGAGATGCGCGCGGTGGCGCGCGTCGTGCGCGGCGCGTGCGCGATGACGGCGACGATCGAACGCGTCGTCGCGACGCCGTCTGGCTCGGTCGTCGCGCTCTGGAACCTCGCCGGCGGGTCCGAACCCAGCGCGTTCCGCGACGCGCTGCGCGCGGCGCTGCCGAACGCGCCCGCGGCGCAGATCGTGAGCGACGAGCACATCATGCACACGACGCTGGCGCGGTTGCTGAGGCCGCCGCCGGGCGCGGGGGGGGACGCGGCGGCGGCGACGGCGGCGGCGGCGGCGATCGCGCGCCAACTCACCGAGCGACTGTGCGGCGTCGAGGTCACGCTCCCGATCGCGTGGTTCGTCCAGGAGCGCGATAAGCTCGCGCTCGCGCTGGGGGGGGCGCACGACGCGACGCCGACGACGTTCGACGCGTGCGGCGGCGGCGGGTGACGCGCCGCGAGGTCGACGAATAGCATTCGTAATAAATGAATGGAACGTTAAACGAAATCACGCGTTCTTTCCTCGCGTCACCTCCCCGCAGTCCGCGATCACGACGTTATACAGCGGCTCCCCAGTGAACGTCCCGCAGTTCATCTCGCACCACTTCACGTGCTCGTACCCGCTCAGCACCTGACCGAACACGACGTGCTTGCCGTCCAACCACTTCGTCTTGGCGTGCGTGATGAAAAACTGAGGGACGCCATACAAAAAAAGTTCACCGGTCAGTTGAAAGGAGACGCGATCAAGTGTTGAAACCGATCGATGGGTGAAAAACGTTTGTATAGAACGCACCTGGCTCCCGTTCGTGTTCTTCCCCGCGTTGGCCATGGAGAGCAGACCCGGCCGCGAGTGTCTCACGTACGCGTCCCCGGCCGCGCCCCCCCACTCGTCGTCGAAGCACCGCTTCCCGTAGATGCACTCCCCGCCCGTGCCGTCCCCCGCGGTCGTGTCCCCGCCCTGGCTCATGAAGCCCGGGATGATGCGATGCATCTTCGCGCCTTTGTAATGCAACGGCTTGCCGCTGACGCCGCACCCTTTCTCGCCCGTGCACAGCGCTCGGAAGTTCTCGCACGTGATCGGGAACGTCCGCGTGAAGAGCTCGATCTCGACGCGCCCGACGTGCTGGTCTTTCAGTCTGTCTTTCACCGCGAGGTCGACGTACACGATCGCGTTTTCCTTCTTCGAGCACACCGCCTCCAGAGGGATCTCGACCGCGCGCGCGGTGGTGAGTCGATGCCACGTCAAGATCAGCGCGGTCGCGAAGAGCGCGCAGGCGAGGTAGAGCACCGGCGTGGAGTCGATCCCGACGACTGCGCGAGAGCGACGACGAAGGGAGGAGGACGTCAGACGTCACGTCAGACGCGCGATCGGGGGACGCGCGGTGGGGGGCGCGGACTACAGATGAGAATCGAGTCGGTCGATCGGTCGCGCGCGCACCCTCGACGAGCTTCGCGCGCGCGGCGGCGAGCGCGTCCGCCCTGGACGGCAGCGCGCCGAGGAACGCTTTAACCTGATCGATCCCGAACGCGGCGGGCGGCGGCGGCGGCGGAGCTCGGCCCCACATCGTCTGCGGGCGGCGTGTTATGACGGCGACGCGGTGCCAAATCTTGTTAATTTTTTTCTGTTCCAGATTTTTCTGTTCCAGATTATTTTTCCAGTACACGGCCGAGTCCGTCCTCCCGTTGTCCTTCGAAGAGCTCTCACCGGGCGCCATCCCTGGCGACCATCATCCTCCCCGCGTGCAACATCATGCGCTTATCCGGGGTTAACATCCGGCGCGTCGCCCACTGCACGTACGCGATCGCGGCGAAAGGAACGAACGCGGCCCCGGGCAGTCAAGCCTTGCCGCGTTTCGATCGACGCGTCGTCACGTTCGCGTCTCTTCCGTCCCCGCCCGCGGCGCCGCCTCTTTGGAAGCGCGCCTCGTTCTCTTTCGTCGCGTCGTGCGCTTCGTCCACGTCATCGTCCACGTCATCGACGCCGGCGTCCGCGGCGTCCGGGGTCTCCTCGACGAACGAATCGTCGCCGCCGCCGCCGACGACGACGACGCCCCCCCCCCGCACCGCGTCGTCGTCGCCGCCACCAAAGTCGCTCCCGCCAAAGTCGTAATCGCTCCCGACGCCGTGCGTCTCTCTTAGGTCCCCGTCCGGCCCTTCCTCGTCGCTCCCGCCCACGGTCACGTCGTAGTACGGCTCCGACGAAGGCCGCGGCTTCACCGCGGTGAAACTCACCGGCGCGGGCTCGCAGAAGCCGCTCTCCCCCGTCAGCACCACGTACGACGCGCGGTTGTGATTTCTTCGCTCGCCCTCTTCGATAAACTGCGGGTAATCCGGCGCGCTGAACACCGTGCACAGCTTCCCGTGCTCGACGTCGTGGTCGACCGCGAACCCAGAGGTGATGTCCGCCATCCCGACGCGGTCCTCGCGCGCGTCCGGGCCCTCGTGCGAGCGCAAGATGAGCGTCAGCCCGTTGTCGCGGAGAAACGCGTCGGTGGCGTCGGCGCCGAAGAGGCAGCCGATCCCGCGGTTGTCGTTCCCCACGAGCCCGCGCGAATCGCAGCACGGGTCGGACCACAGGACGTCGGACGCGATCGCGGCGTCGCCCTCGCCGTCCGGGTCCGGGCCGCCTTTCCACGCGGACGCGAGGTCGTCGAGGGCACCGAGGACGAGCGCGTTTTTTTTTGGTTTTGGTTTTTTTTTCCCGCCGCCGCCGCTGCCGCCGCCCGGCGCTCGAAATAAGCCGCCGTGCAAGACGAGCGTCTTCGCGCCGACGCGCGCCGCGAGCGGGAGCTCCTGCGCGACTTTCAGGAACATCCTGTACAGCGCGCGCCCGTCCTTGTTCCCGTACTTCACGAGAAGCTCGCGCTTGTACCCGTACACCTCGGTGCAAAACTCGCACTCGTGGTTCCCGCGCAGCAGCGTGACCTCCGCGGGGAGGCACACCTTCCACGCGAGCGCGAGCGCGAAGAGCTCGACGCCCCACGCGCCGCGGTCGACGAAGTCGCCGTTGAAGACGAACCAGTTCGTCTCCGACGGCGCACCCGCGAGGTCGAGCAGCTTGAGGAAGTCGTGGAGCTGCCCGTGCGTGTCGCCTACGACGTTCACGCGGACGCCGCGCGAGGGCGGATCGAGGGCGACGAGCGCGCGCTCCTCGCGCAGAAGCTCGAGCGCGGCGCCGAAGAGCTTCGCCATGACGTCCTTGGGGCACACCCTCGCGAGGTTCCTCGGCGTCGCGTCCGCGTCGCGCGTGTTGGCCTCCATCGACGACGCGAGGCGTCGAACCCACTCGGGGGTGATCTCGCCGTCCTTCGGCCACGACGCGGGCGCGGCGGCGAAGGAGGAGGCGACGGAGGGCGACATCGATCGTCGTTCGTTTCCACCCCCCTCTCGAGCGGTCTGGTCTGTCTGTTTATGACGTCGAAAAAGACGAAGACGACGGCGACGGCGTCCTTCCCGGGCGCGACGGGACGCGTATCGCGCTCGCGGACGACGGCGAGGAGTCGGGCGGCGACGCGAGGTGCGCGCGCGCCGTCGCGCGCGTCGTGTGTGAGCCCGCGTCGTCGTCGTCGTCGTCGTCGTCGTCGTCGTCGCATTTCAAAATATCACGCGTCGACGTCTCTTCTGCTGACTCCGCGGAAAAACGGCACCGCGCCGCGACCACGACGAGGATCTATCTCATCACACGCGACGCGCGCGATGCCCCCGCCACCCCGGCGCGGCGTCCTCGCCTCTCTCCTCGCGCTGCTCGTCGTCCTCGCGACGACGACGACGCTGGCGCCATCGGCCGTCGACGCCGCCGGCCTCCTCTCCGAGCAGTGCGCGTCCACGCCGCCGTCGATCGTCGATCGCCGCAAGGATGGAAAAGAGGAATCTCTCGTCGTCGCGTCCCTGCACGTCGGCCCGCCGTTCGAAGACGCCGCCGACGCGAACGCCGCGCGCCCGCGGAGCCACGTCCAGGCGGTCGGAAGGTACATCGCCGCGCTCGAGGCGGACGTTCTCGTCCTGACCGGCGTCGAGAGCTGCGCGGTGCTCCGCCAGTTCATCGCCGCCGCGGTCGCGACGAACGCCGAAGCCGCGAGCGCGCTTCGGCCGTACATCCTCCCGCGCGCGGACGCGGACGCGGACGACGGCGGGACGCGGCACGCGATCGCGGTGCTGTCGAAGATCGACCCGCGTGTCGACGTATGGCGCGACTACGCGCGCGTCGACGCGCCGCTGCCGAGGAGCACGTGCCACGGCGACGTGGACGCCATCGCGTCGCGGGGGAGACCGGGACGCGGACTGCTGCTCGGCGCGCCGCCGACGGAACGAGATTTAGGTGCGTTCTATACACTGGTCCCCATACGACCGCGTCGGCGTTGTGAACGCCGATCCTTAAGGACTTTGCCCGGCGCATCTCTCCGCCCACCCCCCGCTTTCAATCCCCGTCCTCGATGCCTTTCAACGCCAGCTGACGCCTTTGAACTCCATCCCAACATTCGCTTGTATAGAACGGCCCTTAGATCGAGACGCCGACGCCGCCTCCGACGCCGCCGCCGCCGCCGCACACGCGAGGCGCCTCGCGACCGCGCCGGACCACGTCTTCTTCCGGTTCCGCCTCGGCTTCAACAACGTCACGCTCGCCGCGGTCAACCTCGCGGCCGCGCCCGACTGCGCGCGGAGAGAGGCGGGCGCGTCGGTCGTCGCGGCGGCGGCGGCGACGGCGGCGGCGGCGGGCGACGACGTCCTGATCGTCGGCGACCTCGGGTCGTCGTCGTCGACATACGAAGACACGACGCGCGGCGTCGACCACGCCGCGAACGGGACGTTCGCGCTGCTGTTAGACCTCGACGGCGACGGCGAGGACGATCTCGAGGAGTTGGGCGGACGCGCGCGTCCCGCGGAGACGCGGTGGACGGATGAGAGGACGAGAGCGATGCGGCGTCACGTCTTCGCGTCGCCGCGGCTCGCCGCGGCGACGACGGACGTCGCCGTGTCGCGACCGGTCGCCGCCGCCGCGGACCCCGCGAAAAACGCCGCGGACGGCATCGCGACGTTGACGAGCTACGCGCTCGTGGTGCGAATGAAGCTCCCGAGGGGTCACTACACCGCGGAGCCGGAGTCGTTCGCGGAGCTTCTCTCCGACCCGAACGCCGTCGTCGAGCTCGTCATGTTCGTCGTCTTCGGGTCCGTCTTCCTCGTCGGGTGCTTCAAGCTCGCGTTCGGGAAAGAACCGGAGCCGTCGTGGATGACGGAGTTGTACGGGTTCGGGATCAGGGAGGGGAGAGGGCTGGCGACGACGAAGGACATGTTCGGGAGAGATTTGGATGGCGGGACGGAGGACACGCCGCTGGGGCGACGCGTGCGAGAACGGCGGGAACGCGCGAGGAAGGACATGGAGAGGGCGATGAAGCAGAAGATGGGGATGCGGGCGTTCAGGGACCCGCGGCTGAAGCCGTGGCCGTGGCCGTGGATGTTTCCGTGGCGTAAGAGGGCGCCGGCGGACGAGATGACGACGACGACGACGGCGACGACGACGACGCGGACGTCGCCGCGGCGGAAGAAGACGCAGTGAGCGACGTCGAAGTAGTTATCCGATCGTATTGACAACGCATTACTGTACCTCTCTGATGATGATCGATCGATCGATCGATCGACGGCAGCGCGCGTGTTCCAGGCACGGCACTCACTGCTGCTTGCACGTGTCCGGGGCGTTCTCCTTCTCCCCGGCGACGACCGGCGCCGCCGTCGCGTCCGCCGCGGTCGCCGGCTTCGCCTTCTTCGCCGCCGGCGCGTCGCCGAACCCCTCCGTCGTCTCGCCGCCGCCGCCGCCGCCCACGACGTCTTCGAGGCTCCTCCGCGGCGCGGACGGCGCGGGCGGCTTCGCGGGCGGCATCGCCGCGAACGCCGCGGCCGCCGCCGCCGCGGCCGAGTCGGGCGCGGGCGCGGACGGCGCGAGCGTCACCCTCGACGCGCCCGCGCTCTTTCCTACGACGCCGAGGTTCACCGGCGCCGCCGAGTTGGTCGCGAGCCGCGGCTTGGCGAAGCCGGCGGTCTCCTCCGGCTCCCCGCCGGCCACGCCACCGCCGCCGCCCGCGGCGCCCGCGGCGCCCGCGGCGCCGCCGGCCATGCCGCCGATCGCCGCGAACGCCTTCTTGATCTGCTCGCGCGTGCTCGCGTCCTCGGAGACGAGCCCTCTGAGCTCTTCCTCGCGCGCTCTGAGGTCGGCCATGACCGCCTCGAGCTGCTCGAGCTCAGCCTTGGCCGCCGCCATGGGATCGTCGTGGTCCTTCCCAACCGCCGCGATCGCGGCCTCGTCGGAGGACTTCAAGCGGTTCACGCGGCTCGCGCAGATGCCTATCGCGCGCTCGACGCCCTTGAGCGCCTTCTCCGGCTCGTCCAGGAGCTGGTGCGCGACGGACATGGAGCACAGCACGCCGGCGATGCGTCGGTCGTCCTCCTCGAGTTCCATCTCTAGGATCGCGAGGCACTTGGCGAGATCTTCGAGCGCGGCGTCGAAGTTGGCGTGCTCGGTGTTGATCTCCCCGAGGGTCTCGTACACGTTCGCGAGCTCCACGGGGTAGTCGCCGTCTTCTTCGTAAATCAAGCGCGCGTTCTCGATGAGCTTCCACGCGAGCTCCATGTCGTCCTCCTCCTCCTCTTCGTCCTCTTCGTCTTTTTCATCATCCTTGTTGCTCTCGCCGTCCTTCTCGGGCTTCTCGTCGTCGCCGTCGTCGTCGTCGTCGCACGCCTCGCCGTCGTCGTCGGCGTCGCCTTCGTTCGAAGCCTTGCCGTCCTTCGCGTCCGCGGCCGCCTGCGCTTGCTTCCCGAACACCGTGTTCTCGTCCTGCGCCTTGTAGAAGAGCGCGCATCCGTACTTGTAATACGCGCTCGCGGTCTTGATGTCTTGCTCGCCGTAGAGCGCGCTGCGAATCTCGAGCGCGCGCGCGAGCTTCTCGATCGCGAGCTCCATGTCGTTCGCCTTGATCGACTTGCATCCTTCGTCGAACGCGGTCGTCGCGTCCGCCTCGGTCGGGGTCGTCATCGTCGAAGCGAGCGAGGGAGCGCGCGTGCGTCTTTGAACGCGCGAGATCGGGGATGTTGGCACACCTTCTCGGCGCTCTAATTTCGAATCCGCCGATGAAAATCGCTTTCAAACTGTTTTCGCGGTTTGAAAGATCACCTGTGAAAACGTTTTTCTGACCCTGAGAAGCACCCTCCTAATCCGACGCGGTCGTTGGCGGGTGAGTTGGCGCGTTCATTTCCCTTCGACGCGTTTCGGCGACGGACGCGAGCGAGGACACCAGGGCGGAGACGCGCGCATCACAGGTGCGAGATCGCCCGCGGACCCCGCGCGGAGGTACCACGCCGCGCGCGCGAGCCTCGACGCCGCGCGCGTTCGAGCGCGCGCGCGCGGCGATTCGAGTTCGTTGCGATCCTTCCCGTCCCTCCTTGAAGATAGTTATCTCACGCGAACACGTTTCTCCCGCCAGCCGCGCTGACCCCCCCCCCCGCCGCGCGCGTCCTCCTCTCCGAACCCGCAGGCGACGCGTTCGCGGCTCGAGACGCGTCGACCGCGCGCGTAGTAAACCCACCCGCGGCGGCGCGAGGGTTCGCACGGATCGCGCGCGCGATGGCCGCTCGCGCGCGCGCGCCCGTCGCGCTGAACGCCCGCGCCGCGAACGCGTTCGCGCGCGCGCGATCCTCCGCGGCGACGCGCATCGCCGCGACGCGAAGGGTCCCGACGACGACCCCCGCGACGACGACGACGACGACGACGACTAGCGTCGGCGGCGGTGCGGCGCGCGTCCACGCGTGGGGCGGCGCGCGCGGCCGCGGCGTCGGCGCGGCGTGGCGAATTATTAGTCGGAATCACACTCTTCGCCGTCGCGTCGTCAGAGGCGACGGCGACGACCGCGTCGTCTCCTTCAACGCTGACGACATGATCGACGCCGCGGTTCAAAGCCAAAGCGGCGGCCCGCTCACCGGCGAAGGCGGCGCCGCGCTCCCCGAGCGCAAGACGAGGACGGGCGTCAAACGCGCGTACATGCGAAGAGGCGCGAAGAAGGTGTGGGCCGCGATGAACGGGGGCGGGTCCGACGTCGCCGAGTCCTACGGCGACGTCGTGCCCTACGACGGCGGCGACGGCGGGTCGCCCATCCCGGCGTACGGCACCGCGCCGGTCGCGGACGCGGGGGTGTTACAAGGGCGGGTCATCGAGAGCGTGAACGGGCCCGTGGGCGGCGGGATCGGCGAGGGGGCGGGCGTCGCGACGAAGGGCCTCAACGGCGGCGCGTTTCAAGACGACGACGCGAACGGCGGGAACGGCGAGAAGAAAAAGCGGAAGCACAAGTACCACATCGCGGTGAACCCGCCGAAGCAGCACGGCGTGATGCGTATCAACGGCCCGACCGCGTCGTTCAAGCCGAGCGAGTACTTCCGCCAGTCGCTCTCGAGGCGCGCGTTGCTTCGCGACGCGGAGCTCACCCCGCGCGACCTTCGTCGGATCGATCCGTACTTACTGCAGACGAACAACACCCCCGCGCTGCTCGTGAGCGATCAGACGATTATCGTCAACCTCGGCGTGCGCGTGATCGTCCGCCCGGACCACGCGCTGCTGTTCGAGCCGGACACGGCGACGGCGCAGCGGTTCTTGGAGAGTTTGAAGACGCGCGGCGAGACGAAGGTCGCGCCCGACGGCGGAGGCGCCCGCGGGGGCGACGGCGGCGACCACGTTGACGCGATCCGCGACGTGAGCGGGTTGATGTCCGACAGCGACCTGAAGGACACCCCCGGCGGCGTCGGCGGCGCGCCGATCCCGTTCGAGCTCGAGGTGGTGGAGGCGGCGTTGCAGGAGACGACGAGCCAGCTGTACGCCAAGCTGGAGTTTTGCGAGGCGCGGTGCCGGCACGTGAGCGAGTCGCTGCGGACGTCGATCAACCCGGTCGTGCTCGAGGAGCTGAGGCTGACGAAGCAGAGCCTCGTGGAGTTGGACTCGAGGGCGGGGGCGATTCGGCAGGTGTTGCTGGACACGCTGGACGACGACGACGACATCACGGATTTCACGATTTCGTCCACGGCGGAGCTCATGACGGAGGAGAAGGAGGACGAGGAGGAGGAGGTGGAGAACTTGATCGAGTACTACCTTCAGCAGACGGAGACGGTGCACAGCGCCGCGGAGCAGCTGCTTGAGAACACGCGCGATCTCGAGGAGTCCATATCCGTGTCGTTGTCGTCGCGGCGGTACGAGGTGAGCAAGCTAGAGCTGACGCTGTCGATCGCGACGTTCGCCGCCGCGTGCGGGGCGCTCATCACCGGCGTGTTCGGGATGAACCTTCGGTCGTGCCTGGAGATGTCGATCACCGCGTTTTATCTGACGTGCTTCCTCATCGTGAGCGGGATGGGCTGGATATTCCGTTCGATCATGAAGTTCGCGCAGCGGCAAAAGATTTTGTGACGGATGACGGAGAGGAGAGCTCGGTCGACGACGGCCGCGGTGTGTTAACCGACGCCGTCGCCACCACCTAGGAACGCCGCGCGGGCGAAGATAGCTCGCTAGGGTGCGAATAAAGTTTCAGCTCACGCTGTTTCGCTTCGCGTGCGCCGCGTGTTCCGCGCCTCGGCGACCTCGGCGACGCGGAGGCGCCAACTTCATCACCACTCTGTCCTTTTTCTTCCAGTCTGTCGCTTTCTCTTTTCAAACGAAAACGCGCGCGAACCCACACAACGCGTCCCCGCGCGCACGCAGAACGCGGACGCGATGCAGTCTATTGAGATACCCGACGACGGGATCTCCGACGACTGCTTACACCAGGCGATGGACGACCTCGAACTGAGTCACGCGCGATCGTCCTCGTCCCCTGTTGGCGACGATCTCGGCGGGTCGGACACGGGTGCCAACATCACGTCGTCCGACATGTTCCACGACGGGAGCTCACCGACGGTGAGCGCGCGCGCGGCGACGGGGCAGGCTGTTAATCTCTCCGCGGATATCGTCTACGACTCCCAGATGCAAAGTCAGCGCGCGGAGGAGCCGCGCGAGGAACGAGAGGTCGTTCCCGAGACGCAGATCATGGAAACGCAAGACGCTGTGGGTGAAGATCTAGATGGCGGCGCCGCTGCCGAAGACAGCGTGAACCTGGGGATGAATCCGAATACTGAGCCTCCTCCATCTAATGGACCGGGAAGAGCGCAAGCGTCAAGGGAATTGCGGAATCTCTCGGTGTTCGGGTGGGACGCTCAAGTAGGCGAGCACCCCCCCGGCGCCGCGCTCGCTTTACCCGTGGAAGGGCGCTTGAGAAGGAGACTCCCTGTGAATTACACCGCCGCGGACGACGTCGACGACGAAATGGACGACGACGACGATCAACGCGACGACGATGGGGAGCTGTGCCGCGACTATGTATACGACGACGAAACCAGCGAGACGGGATATTCCTCTAACGACTCCGTGGAAGAAATCATGGTAACCCAGGTGCAGCAAGAAGAACGGATGCAACTAGGAGAGGTTCAGAGCACGCGGCGTGCGGTCCCGCCGACTTCGGAAACTCATCAAGCGAGCGCAGCGCCCGCCGTGCAACCGCGCCGAACCGCGTCGCTGTCGACGAACACGGGGACCGAGGATTCTATGACAGTTTCAGAACTTGAACGAGAGGAAGCCGAAATCGTTGCTAAGGAGGCCGCCCTCGCTGCTGAGGAGGCCGACCTCGCTGCTCGCAGGGAGCGTTTGGAGAGAAGGAAAGCGAAGAAGTCGAGGTCTGCTCCGCGAGAGACAGAACCGAACGTGCGCCCACAGCAGCGGCAGAGGATGATGGACGATTTCATACAGATGCCCGCCCGCGAAGATGGACGAGGCGTCGATGGCAGTCGTGAACGCGCGCGCGAGCCGCGAGGTCCACGAAGTGCGCAGCGAGGAATTTCCGCGCGACCCGATACCGTCCACCTGGCAATCCCGAAGGACGTTGATGAAATGTATGACTTGTGGGAACAGAGGGCCGTTCATATCATCCCGGACGACGCGTCGGTGTACAGCAACTTTCGCTTCGCGTTCGGGGACGACACAGAAGAAGGCCGCCGTTTCAGAAAAAAAGAAATCAAAGCGATCGGGGAGGTTTTATTCGCGTTCAAAAACACGCGCAAACCGGGTCAACACGCACTGTTGAAAGGGCGCGAACGCGAAGGTAAAACCGGGGCGTTATTCTCGATCGCCCTCGCCGCGCTTCTGCTACACATGCGCGTCGTTATCCTTTGCGCGCCGAATAAGCTAGCCCCGATCGTGGACATGGTGAAGAAGATACGAGCGTCTGGTTTCGGGACCCAATACGACACGAAGCACACGCTCGGTAAAAAATCATCGAAGGACAACGACGTCCCATCCTCCGACCACGGGCAGATTTTCGTCGCGGCGTTGGGGACGATCACGGATTTGAGAAAAGTCAAGGCGTTCATCCAGAGCGAGATAAGAGGCGGGCATCACACTGTGACGTTGATCGACGAGTGCGACGAGCTCACGCAAGGTAAAGGGAACAAATCGCTTGAGATCGAGCGACGAGAAGATCCGAGCGCGTATCAAAATTTCATCCCGTTGGCCGATCGCGGGGAGGACGAAGACGACGACGACATCCCGTACGTGGACCCGGATAGTCGCGCGGGGAAGCAAAAAAATCGCAAAGAACAGCTCGCGGCGGCGTCTCACTTCTTCAAGAAAGAGCTGCACAAAATCACTCAGGTCATCGCGTGTTCCGCGACGCTCAGCGGGTACATGTTGAACCCCGTCGGCATGTTTCGTCAAGATGTCGTAACACCGATTTTCATGGTGTATCCAAAACTTGGATACAGAGGCATCGAGACGTTCCAGGTCCCGGATGGATGCGAACTCGAGATGGAAGGTAACATGTCGATGGATGATTTCGAAGACTCATCGGCGGTGAAAACGTTGCTGGAACGTTTTTACAACAGAAAAAACATATGCGACGGTGTCCAGTTGCAGCCGAGGCCTGAGGTCCAAGGCGCCAGCAACGAACGCAACCCGTATTACGTTGAACACCCCACACCTGTGACGCTTCGAGGCATGTTGTTCATCTCGTGCTCGCCGAAGGTGAACGTCTACGGCGGGGTCGCGGACATCGCGAAGCAAGTGTGTAAAACCGTGGACGCGTGGGACAACGAACACGACTCCGCGAAGACTTTATTCGTCTGCTTCGTCGGCGTGCCGAAAGTGTACTTCGCGAAGAAGTGGTTCAAAATGCCCCGTGGCGCGTCGCTCGAGACGATTTACAACATCACGAGAAAGGAAGCTCAGCGAGGTACGTTCGGTCAAGATTTTGCGCTGGGACCCGGTGAACCGCTGAGCAAGGTGTGCACGCACTGCGTTTTGATCGGCTACAACTTGACGCGACGAGCGATGACAGCGGCGTTCAAGCCAGAGCACGAGCCCGGTGTCCTCTGCAAAATTCAGTACGGCATCTTGACCGCGCCGAAGATGCTGACCATAGACGCGGTCAGTCAAAGAGTGAATCGCGCGTCGCACGACTTCGCGGAGCACGACGTACCAGATGAGTACGTCGTAGACGTCGCGATGAGCCCGGTCACGCTCGAGCTGTGTCAGAAATTCCGAAAAATGGAGGACGACATGGTAGACACGCAGCGTTTGGAGCCGTGCATTCACAGCGTGTTTCAGCAGAAAATTGAGGTGTTCGCATGCGGCCTAGAGAACAGCAAGGTTTCCAAACGAGGAATTCGGTTAGCGGAGCTGAGTCGAACAGGGCAGTTGAAGAAAGAGCGAGAGCGCCGTGAGAATCTCGCGGACCAAATTCCCGCTCTCCGCGAGTTCAGAAGATGGCTCGAGAACGACGCGACGTACACAAGGGGAGGTCGCCCGGAGAACTTCACTGGATCCACCCCAGGTAATTACTACGGCCACGTCAAGCGTTTGTTCGTTAATGTAATCGATGAATTCATCGATGAAGGCGCTGGCATCGATGACATCATGCAGCGCTTCGATGACATCCGCGAGGACATCGTGCAGCGCGCTGAAACGAGAGAGCACGAGCTGCAGCTGCGAGGATCAGAGAGGACCCCCAGTGAGGACGACGAATACCACGCGCTCAAGCAGTTTAAGATTTACTACAACAGATGAGGACATGACGAGAACGTGTCGTTCGACGGAACAGCGGACTAGATGCGTGAGGTGCACTGTAATACTAAGTAACTCGTTTGTGCATAATCTGCGCGCTCTCGGGACGAAACATTCAGGCCCGATGCTCTGTTTTCGCGAAAGTTTCCCACGGGGAGACGCGCGTAGGTACACGCCGCGCGGGCGAAAATAGCTCGCTAGGGTGTGAATATATTTCAGCTCCTAAATGACGCGTCCGCGTCGTCGTCGTTCACTCGCGGCTTTCGTTGCATAAGCTCGAGGAGTGTATAATCTCGAGGAGTGAAAACCCTCGAGGAGGCGTTTTCTTTTTCGTGTCCCCCTTTTTGCGACGCATCCCGCTTCATCTTCGACTTTTTGTTCTTGAACCAGTTGAACACGTTCGCCTCGTTGATCGGCCCTAACTTCGCGAGCTCCTCCGTGATCTGCGTTCGCTGCTCCCTTTTCGGCGTGCCCATGCCGGTGAGGAACAGCTCCTCGAGACGCGCGAGTTGCGCGGGCGTGGGGTTCCACCGCGCGCTGCGCTCCAAGTGTGGCCGCGAAACTAAAGAATTAGCGCGCGCGGACGGCCCCTGCGGAGACACCCCCTTCACGATCAGCGTCGTCGTCTGAATGATCTCGCCGTTGACGCCGAGCGCGTTGATCGCGAGGCGCTCCCCGTGCGCGCCGAGATTCTTCGGCTCGTACCGCACCACCACGGAGACTTGCTGCCCCGCGGGTATGACGCCGCTCGAGGGCGTCGTCTTGAAGAATTTGATCCTAGGCGCGGTGAAGTCCACGGGCATCTCCTTGTTCGTGTTCTTGATCGTCACGAGGTGGTCGCCGACGTCGTCCGACGCGATCGGGCCAAAGTCCAACAGCGGCGGGTCTACGGCGAGGATCGAATTCTTCGTTCCGTCTGGATTTTTGTTGTAAACCGGCGCCTGGTAGCTCGGCTGCGCGCCGGCGCTTTTGTCATGCGCCGCCGCGATAGTCAGGCGCGGCGCGGCGGCGGGCTCGATTTGCTTTCCCGGCAATGTCAGTGGTTGCGGCGTGGCGACGGCTTGAACCGGCGGCGCGGTCCAGTCCGCGCACTGTGTGATGCCTCGTTGAATCAACGCCGCCTTCACAACTGGTTCGCTTAAGTCGTACATTACCTGCATCTCCGCCAGAGTGAGCATCTTCGCGAGCCCCGCGGTGCACTTCGGCGTCCAACGGCCTCGAACGCAGATCCAGTCCGCGCACTCCGTGATCCCATTGCGAGTCATCATGCTCTTCACATGAGCGACATCGTTGCAGTTGTACATATCCCTCAGTTGCTCCATCGTGTGCGACTCCGCTACTTCCGGGGCGAGCCTCCGCCCCGGCAGAGTCTTCGCGAGCTCCGCGGTGCACTTCGGCGTCCAAAAGCCTCGAACGCAGATACAGTCCGCGCACTCCGTGATCCCATTGCGACTCATCATCATCTTCACATGAGTAACATATTTGTAGTTGTACATATCCCTCAGTTGCTCCATCGTGTGCGACTTCGCGACTTCCGGGGTGAGCCTCGGCACCGGCGGAGTCTTCGTCTTCTCCGTGAAGGCGTGGTCCTCCTCATCATCCACCTCCTCCTCTTCCACGCCCTCCGGCGCGGTGAGCTGGGTCGGCGCGATATCCTCCCAAAACCCGTCGCGCTCCGTCGCCGCGGCGTCGTCTCGCCCTAGATCGGGTGCCAGCATCGTCGAAGGCGCGTTCTCGTCTTCGTCCGTGAGATCATCGTCCCCCGGGTCGTTCGTCGGCGGCCGCAGATCTGGCAGGTGCTTCCAGTCTGCGCACTCCATGATTCCCAAGCTTATCAACATCGTCTTCGCGCGCTCTTCACTAGGGATCCCAGACAGCTCGACTACCTGCGCCAACGTGAGCCCCCTGACGTACTCCCGCAGATTCCAGTCCGCGCACTCCGTGATTCCCATGTGAATCATAAACCTCCTCGCACTCGAAGGACTTTCGAACTTGTACGTCTCCACTATCTGTGCCAGCGTGAGCGTATTCGCGAGCTCCCGGGTGAGCGACAAAATTATCGGCACCGTCGGCGGAGCGGCATCGCTTGGACGCGGCGGCGGCGGCGGCTCATTTTGGTTTTGATTCTCCTCCGACAGCGCCTCGTCCGACGGCGGCAGTGGCGGCGGCGGCTGCCGCTCGCTCGCTTCGGGTTCCGAGTGTACGAGCGGCGGTCGCGCGGGCGGCGGTCGTCTCTCGCTGCCGCCGCCCCCGCCCCCGCCGCCACTCCCCGCGAGATTCCGATGCCGCGGACAGAAAACGCGGTACGATCCCTCGGTCGTCCCGGCGGCCGCGCCCTCGTCCGGCTCGACGAACACGCACTCGCCCTCCGCTTCCATCTAAAACCGCCGCGCGCACGGAACGTGAAACGACCAAGGGCACTCGTCGTAGAAACACCCAGTGCACGCGCCCGTTTTTTTGCACGCGTGACACTTGAGTCGCTTGGCGCGCTGCGCTTCCGCTCTGATGTTCTTCGCCATCCGCCGCCCGGCGCCGAATTCGTATTCGTTTTCGTCGGCGTACACCGTCCTTGGCGCGTATAAAAAACAATCCTTGTGCGCGAGCGTGACGTCCCCCCTCGCCAAGGACGTCAGCTCGCACTCGATCTCCGAAGGTTGCGTCCCCTCGAGGCGTTGGCGGCACAGCGCGCACGGGCGGTCTCCGGGATTCCGCTTCAGTTCCGCGATGCGTTGGCGCAAGACGGCGGGGACGACGACGCGCGGAGGCGCGTCGTGGTCGGCGTTCGAGGGCGCTTTCGCGCGTTTCCGAGCGTCCAGACCTTCGCCGCCGCCGGCGGCGCCGTTCGACTCCGGCGACGATCTCTTCCCCGTCGATCGTCCCTGCGACGGGGACGCGGTCGGCGGCGTCGTTTCCTCGTCGTCGTCGTTCCCGCGCCGGTCGGTCGGTCGCGGCGCCGGCGCCGACGGGGAAGAGAAGGT